TTTGATTTGTGGTTTTGTCTCTTGTATTTTTAAAGGGCAGGCATTCTGGTTTTTTCCCTCCTCTTTTCCTTCTTTTTTTTCATTTTAATGATTGGAGTGTATATCTTAATTTTTTTTATTTTTTTTTCTTCTTTTCTAACTCCCTTTTTTTATTTTTTTATTTTTCTCATTATTTTAAAGATTTTCCTTTGAGGGAGTTATGATTTTCTTTTGAAGGAATTTTTGTAATTTTTAAGAAGGAGTAAAGTTTTTTTTTTAAGATGGCTCCAAAGCGTCCACTGAATTTCACAGTTCCTAAATCTTCTGTGGCCCAGCCAACAACTGTGAAGGATATGCAACAAATGATGGGAAATTTTACAATTCAAATCAGGGCAGAAATGAAAAAGATTTTGGAAGAAAATAATAAGATTTTGAGGCAAGACATAGTTTTGGCTCTAAAAGGAGTTGCTTCTGTTCTTGAAAAGTTGAATTCCCATGTGGAAGAAGTAGCTGAAAAAGTGGAATTAATGGAGGGGAAAATTGAAAGTATGGAAAAAGAAATGGAAAACGAGATTCTTATGCTTCAATATGGTCAAATGGAATATGCCTTAAGAATTAGGGGCTTGGAAGAGTCCTTGCAAGAAGATCTGAAAGAGATGGTTGCAAAGGACTTTGCTGTAATTTTGAATAAAGAAAAAGAAGGAATACTTAGTGAAATTGAAAAACTATTTAGAGTTAACTCTGCGGTGGCAGTACAAAAGAATTTGCCAAGAGATGTGGTAATTTACTTTGGGAAGAAATCTTTACGCAATGAAATTATACAAGCTTTTTATAAGAAGAGATTTCAAATTGCTTCACAAGATGTTATAATTTTAAAGGAGATCCCATCTAAAATTTTAAGAAGAAGAAAGGAGTTTGCCTTTTTAGCAAATGAACTTAAAATGAGACGAATTTCGTTTAGATGGGATGTTCCGATTGGAATGGTGGTGAATTACCTGGGAATATGTTACAGACTTAATACTGTTTCTCAAGCAAAAGATTTTTATACTTCAGTATTGGGGGTATGTTCATCTCCATCTATTAAGTTCAAGACTTTGGAAGAAATGGATGTAGAATCACAGTTTGAAGACTCTAAAATTGGGCAACCCCTGTTTAAGAGATCTCAACATGTTCAGATTGAGGAGCAGGAGACAACTTGTGTAGCACAAAACTGTAAAGAAAAGCAGCAACTGAAGAAGAGTAATGAAATTTCACACCTAGTGATTGCTGAATCTGTGGGAGAAGCAAGACCCATAAATCCTTTGGAGCAATCTTCAAGGATGGAAGGGTCATCTGAGATGAAAAGGGGAAATTCCAGCCTGAGGGGCGTCAACAAGTTGAGAGGAAGGGGCAGAGGAAAATCTGTGCAACGTATAATTGTAAAGAAAAAGACCAACAGAATAAGGAGCTTAAGGAATCCCCATATGTACTGGCTTCTGAGTCGTTGGGAGACTCAGAAAATTTGGAGCAGCTTTTGAGGACAGATCCTAAAGCATTTGTTTTAAGTTTTATGACGAAAATGGACAATCGAGGCTGACAATAATAATATCAGTATGATAATGAATGGAGAATGAAAATGGACAATTGAGATTGATAAGGACTGGGGTTTTTGTGGTTGCAACTTGTTACTGATGAAGATTTGAATATTTATTGTGTTTATGGTGGATGGAATTTCCTATAGTGTTTTTTGAGGGTGGAATTTGCTATAAACTGTCTACTTTGGATGGAATCTGATAAGATTTAAATGAGTATAAAGGTGTCTTGTTTTTTTTTTCCTTTTTTAAGTTTTAAGTAATGTATAAATTTGTGTTTTGGGGGAGTTTATGAAAATGATAATAATATTTATGATATTAGAAGGATTGGAGTATATTACAATGTGTTTAGTGTTTTGGGCGGGATTTTTAATGTTTAAAGTTTTAAGTAATGTTTAGATTTGTGTTTTTGATTGACTATAATTTTTTGTTCTAATGTTTCAAGTTTTGATTGTTTAAATTTGTGTTTTGGAGGGACTATAACTCGTTTAACTAAATGTATTTAGATTTGCTTATGATTTATGCTGACTTTATATTGTAGTTATAGATGTTTAAAGAAAGCAGTGCTTAAAATTGTGTCTTGGAAGAAACTTATCTAGAAGGATGGATAATATTATAAGTAAGATTAGAAGATTTTTAGAGTATATTATAATGTGTTTATTATTATTTTCTAGAAATAATTCATTTAATTTAAGGTTCTTAGGATTGTTTAGGATTTATAGGTGTCTTAAGTTTTATATGTGTTTTAAGTTCTTTTTCTTTTTTTTCTTTTGAAACATTTTGGATAAGCCTGTAATCAACTCTGGGAGGTTCAGGGGAGGGTTAGGGAGGTTTGGGGAGTTGGGGGAGGGTATGGGTAGGTGGGCGGGTTTGGGGAGGGGATTTATTTTGTAAAATGTTAAAAATTCTCAATAAAAAAAAAAATATTTATACTTCCAAGTTTTAAATGACCAAAGTTTTCTTTATCTCAACTCATAACAAAATCTTGTATTCAAAATACACATTTTATCTATTTGGGTATGTTCTATTTTAATTCTCACTGATAAGTCAAAACCCCAATTTTCTTCAGTCTTATTCTAGCTTTCTTTCTTTGCCAAGTCGTCTTCCATGTCCGTGCTTTTAAGTTAATAAATCTCCCTGTGTGGTTATGTATGTTGTTTGAAGTAGAAAAAAACATCCGGTTGCCATTTTTTTTGAAAGGGCTAACAAATCTTCTCTCTTTTTTTCCATGTTGACATAGTGTCCTGAACTGTTTATCTTCTCTTCAGTCTGTTCTTCTTCTTGATCCTCAGGTTTCTCCTGGCTTATATAGGAAGTGTTTTCCCTTTTCCATGTTGTCAGTCCCTTTTCTGGGTTTTCCATTAACTGTGTTTGTTGATCAGTTGAATCTTCTGTCATAGTATTTAATTGTTCTACTTTTTCTATTATATTTTGTGTAGTAGATTTTTTTAGTTGTAATCAAAGTTTGGGTTCGTATATCTAGGCTAACATCTTGTTCTTTTCTGTAGCTTATTATTTCATCAGTAGCTGTAAATTGCTTTCAACATAAAGAGAATCTGTTTCTGATCTTCATCCATGTTATCTTAATAGTATGTTAAATTAAAAGCAAAAATCAGAATGCAAAAAAATTGTCACTGAGTATAGAAGATAGCTGCACTTCTCACAGCTGATATATATCAAGGTTACAAAAGTCTTATCTATAGTCTGGGCTACAAGCCAAGTCTCTTTTAAGTAATAACAACTTGTAATATCAGGTTTAGCCACAAGATGTTGCCCATACCATTTAGAGTTTTCTTTTAAGTCCAAAATTTTTATAATCTTTTCAATTTTATTTCTTTTTTGTAACTAAAAACCCAGATCCTCAGTAAGAATAAAAAATCTTTTAGTTCACAAATTTTAAAAAGATAAAAATCCAATTAGAATCAAGTTATTCTTGCAACATTTTAAACTCCTCTGGAGTTGCTGCTGTTTTTAGAGGGAGGGATAGAATCTCCCTTCCCTCTCCACAGGGGGAAAAGTACTTTGAGCAGCTTATGCAGGTAGAAAAAATAGTTAGGATTTAAGAGAGGTAGATCTCACTCGGTCTCATCCACACTGCTTTATAGTTGCCTAATGGTAAATTTGACTTCAACTGTCTGCAGCCTAGTGATGAGCCATATTTCTATGGCTGGTCTTTCATCTGCTAGTTTGGAGGGCTGCCCCAGATCAAACAGAAGGGCCACTGCTCTCCCACAATCAAGCGAGGATCCCCTCCTTGCTGGTCGCCCCTACAGGGTGACTTTCAACCCTTTCCAAGGTCCCCCAGCGGTATGAAATCGAACGTGGAAGATGTAGCTCGCCTTCCAAACATCTGTGGTGGCTGCATCAGCAAACTGGAAGTCCACATATACACACAAACTTATATATACATAATATACATATTATCAGATAGATTGCCAGCAAGCCAGACAAAACTACTCAATTTTTCTCAGCCCTAGGAAGAAGGCAATAGCAAATCACTTCTGAAAATCCTTGGCAAGAAAACTGCAAGGATGTCCAGGCAATCTCCAGTAATCAGATGCATTTGAATGGAAGAAAAAAAAATCTGATATAATGCATTTTACTTACAGGGCTACTCTACTGTGAATACCTAATGTATGATTACAGAGTTGAACTATATATGTTGGTAGACATGCAAAAGACTATAAAATGTTTACAAAAGCAAAAAATAATAATTTTATTTTGGATGAATTAAGGCTTGAGCTTGAAACAAACTCCTGTCCTGCTGTTATTACAAATTCCATCATTTAATAATAGTTACATTAAAATTCCAGATTTAGCTAAATCTTACTTCCAAAGTAATAGAATAAAGTAAGTTCAAAATAAATTAAGAAAGTTCTTCTATAAATAATCACCTGGATACCTCTATTGATAGTACAGCATCTAAAATGTATCATAATGGTATTTTTATTGGACATATCATAACAGGTGAAATAGTCTTTCTTACAAATGCATTGATCATAATAGTGCCTGAATATTTAATCTTCCATATTGAATCATATAACGGTCTAGAGAATAGCAATAGCAATACCACTTATTCTGCTCCAAACTGCTATGCAGTCATCTCTGTGGAGTTTACAATGTCAGCATGTAAGGAACCCAACAATGTAGGTCCTCATTTTACTGCCCTCAGAAGGATGGAAGGCTGAGTCAACCTTGAGTCAGTCAGGATCAAGCTCTGGGGCTGTGGGCATAGTTAGCCTTCAATACTGCATTTTAACTGCTGTGTCACCATGATTCGATAGCTTGGTGAATAGCTCTGTTAAAACTGGAAATTTGGCCTAGATAGTGAGATACTGAAGCAAAATATTCCAATTAGTCTGAAGATAACTGATTTTTTCATGGCTCTATCTGCATTTAAAATGTTTTACATTATATACAATGAAGTTATATATATTTTTTATTTTGCAGGCCTTTGATCATATTCTTTCAGCTATAGAAGATATATCTGGTCAAATAGGACACAATTATTTGAGAGACAAGTAAGTTGATTTGCATGGGAATTAAAAAAATGAATACAAAGAGTTACTCAACACTAAGATATTATATTAAAGTATGGTTGCCTAATACTTGAAAATATTGAGAATGAAATATTTGCTGGATAACATCTCTTTTTACTTTATTAATCTCATTTAAGAGAGATACAGATAGTCCTTGACTTATAGCCACAATTGGGACCAATGAAGTTTCATCTCTAAGCAATGTGGTCATAAAGCAAGATGTTATTTGGAGAATAGCAGGATCCCATTCTCACAATATCTGGGGAAGACCAAAAGGATTGTGAGAATGGGACACATAACTTGGAGAAGGAAAGGGGTGTGTGGTTTGGAGCATAGCATGAGGTGGAAAACATGAGCAGGGTAAAGTATAGCCTGTGGAGTATAGAATGACAGGGACAACTGGGCTTTGTGCAATTATGCTGACATGACTGCCCATGGTGTGGGGCTTGAGGCCACATATCTGAATGGCAGCAGTGGTGCTAGAGCTGAAATAGAGACCTGAGAGTTGAGGCAGCTGGCTATCTGAAACTATCTCTAGCCCCTAGTTCAATCCCAATCCTGACACTACCATCAAACAAGTGCCGCTGTGTAGGGTGCCCATAAGGGCACAAGGGGGAGATAATTGGGTGGATAGAGTCACAGCACTACGGCAGGCTGCTAAATGCCCAAATCTTGATCACGTGACCGCAGTGGCATTGCAATGGCTGTAACTTTGGAGATGGGTTTTTAGTCTATTTTTTCAGCATTGTTGTAATTTTGCTTGCTGAATGAATAGTCATAAGTTGTGGGCTTAGTTGAACTTACTTCATCATAAAAAACTAAGCAGGATTATACCCGACTAATACTTGGATGGGAAATACTAAAACTCTGAATGCATAGTCAGTTACTTCCATTTTTAGTCTCCCAATTCTGTACTGACGGCAAAATTTCTTTTCCAATGTTGTGTCATATTAATTCTTGCACTATCAGCATGTATCTTAATAAATTGTAATGGCTTTTATTAATGATCTCTGGAATCATAACTAATAAAATATTTGTGGCTTTAATTTAATTATTTTTTTAATTCATATTTTATTTTCAGACTTTTCAGAATGTTTTGATATATTTCTTTCCAATAATTTTTAGGGATTTTTTTTAACATAACAGTCACATATGATGAAATGTTCCTTTTTTACTGTGTCATTTCCAACATTTGTTGTTTGGTTTATCCATCTTTGAAATTGTTGATGGGGTTATATACCATCTGCAAAATATTTTGTAACAGTTTTCCTCAGAGTATAGATTGATGTAAAGGTTGTTGATTTTTCTATAAATCTTGCCATTGATCCATATTTGTTATTACTTTGAAATATTACATATATTTTATCATAATTTTTAATCTATCCTGTCCCCATTTTACTGTATATTTAAGTATCAATTTGTAAATACAACTTGATAAATAAGCTTCAGTCTGTTTTGCCTAGAATATAATTCTTTTTAAAATGTTGCAAATTGTTCTGTTGTTTCTGATAGCATCTATTAGAAGCCTAGCCAAATTCAAACAGGAATGGTTCCATTATATACAACATAACACATAGCAAGGCAAGCCAAAAAGTTAGAATTTAAGAAAAAATAAAAAATTAATCATCATCCAAGAAATGAGTAATAACATCCAAGATAAAGTATAAAATAGTTAGAATATAGACTGGAGCCTTAACCATTACATCAAATTGGCTTTTCTGGGTTAAGGTGCTGATCTAGAAATCCAGGAGATTGTGGATTCTAGTCCTGCCATAGTCATGAAAACTGACTGAGTGACTTGAGACCAGTTACTCTTTTGCAGCCCAATTCACCTGATAGAATTTCCTCACATAAAATGTGAGAAAAATAAGAGGAAAGATTATTAGATATGTCTACCATCTTGAGTTATTTATAAAAATAATAAAGGTGGGATTTAAAAAATGTACTGATCTGAATTTTTATAATATATGGTCTTTGAGCTTGATGTTTTACTGATTTTAATTTAATTTTAAATGAGTTACGGTATCTTGAATTGTTATTAATTTAAGATTTGTAAGCAAATATATAATGATCCCCCAAAATTGGGAAGAGGCATATATAATGTTTAATATACAAAGAAGGGAATGATGCAAAGAAACCTCAACTGTATAGACCAGAATCTTCATTTTTTTTAATAATTTTTATTTTTCCAAACTATCCCCCATACATATACTGTGATATTTATCAGATGTTAACATGCATTCTTTTTACATTCATATATAAGATACTTTTAATAAAATGAAATAAATACATACACATGACTTTTGGTGTTGCTCGCCCATTTCCCCTTTCAATGTATCCACACTCCTTCTTCTCTACCTTCTTTCTCCACCAGAATCCTCATTAAATGTTGATAAAAGGGCATTAACTAATGTGTTCAGTTTTTAGTTTTAGTTTTTTCAATGTTTTACATTTTTTTAGGCTCTGACTTTTCAGTGTATATTTTCAAATTTCCTTTGACAATTTTTGCCTAGAAAATAATTCCTAAAAAATGTTGCAAGTTCTGCTGTTTCTGACAGCATCTGGTAGAGATCTAGCTAAATTCAAGCAGGAATAGTTCCATTATATAAACATACAACATAGCAAGGCAATCTAAGAGCTTAGACTGTTGGGTTTTTTTAAGAAAAAAGAAAAACTAATCAACATCAAACAGAAATATGTAACGATGTCAAAGGTAAAATATTAAATTACTTCAATAAGAATTAGTGGCTGGGAGGGGGAGAGTTCAGGAGGAAAAAAGAGGGGATAACAGAATGCTTTTTGTTTTTGTACTTCTATGTTTTACGTAATCAATAAAAAGAAGAGCTATTTGGAAGACTAGTTACATTTATGTTGTTGGAAATGCAGTAAAATTAATATTTTATTTAAATATATCATTTAAGTAAGAAGCAACTACATGTATTATTTCAATTTCGAGATTTAATATTTTTAGGTATATATATTCTCTATCATATGTTTATCTCTATCATATGGAATTGAGTTTTGCATAAAGAATATGGGTTGACAGTAAAAAAAGTTAACACTGGAAAGACAAACATAATTCCTACTATCAATTATGGATAACTGTAACAGAATAATAGAGTTGGAAGGGACCTTGGAAGTCTTCTAATCCAACCTCCTGCTTAAGTAGGAAACCCCATACCATTTCAGACAAATGGTCATCCAATCTGTTCTTAAAAATCTCCAGTGTTGGAGCACCCACAACTTCTTGGAGCAAGTTGTTCTACTGATTAATTGTTCTAACTGTTAGGAAATTTCTCGTTAGTTCTATATTGGTTCTCTCCTTGATTAGTTTCCATCCATTGCTTCTTGTCCTGCCTTCAGGTGCTTTGGAGAATAGGTTGATCCCTTCTTCTTTTTGGTAGCCTCTTACACTGCTATCATATCATCTCTAGTCCTTCTTTTCATTAAGCTAGATATATCCAATTCCTGAAACCATTCTTCGTGTCAGAATCCAATTATATTTCATCTCTAGTTATTGTAAGGACCCACCCCACTTTGCATCTTAAGAAGACAAAACTCTTGGAATAATTCTTCCAACAGGCATCCTTTATTAAGAGAAAATGGTTGCAGGCGTTCTAGACAGGAGTTGGGATCCAAGCTCTCCCATTCAAGGTTTTAAGGGGTTCCCCAGTAGCCCCACCCAATCACCCCCCCTCTTTCAGCGACAGTCTCAGGCATTGCATTCCCAACCCCTTTTCCTTACTGCCGGCTGGATGGAGACTTCAAAGAAAACTATATGAAAGGTAATAGCCCCATTCTTATGGTTAGCTCTTTTGGCAATACACACATTCAGTTCCTTTGAAGTATACCAAATGAAGTGAGGGCCATAAAGCCCCTTTGTTCACCCCCTTCCCTTCATCGTATGGCAGAATCCATAGAAGGCAGAAATGGGGTTTTTTATAATTGATAACTAGAAATGAAATATAATTGGATTCTGACATCCTGCCCCTCAAAAATATGACAGATCCACCTGAAAGAAAACAAAACAGGTATAAACGTTAGTCAGGCTTGTTAGGGTATTCTATGTGAAACTTCTTTAATAGCTTCGGGGCTCTGACATGACGTTTATGGACCCACTCGTTTTGTGAGGGAGGGAGGTGTTTCCAGGCAACTAGATACTGAGTCGCACCATGATATCTCCTAGAGTCAAGGATTTCCTTTATTTCGAAGAGTTGTTCACCCTCCACTATGATTGGAGGTCCATTTCAATGCCCTGGGGGGATATGTGATAACCTAGGTAGTCTATCCTTTCCTGGTGGAATTCGCATTTTGAGAGTTTGGCATATAGGTGGGCGGCTCGCAGTTTCTTTAAAACCGCTCTGACAAGGTTGACCTGTTCCTCTTTTGTTTCGGTGAAGATAAGAATGTCGTCCAAGTAAACAAGGACCCCCTTAAACAGGTGCTTCCTTAGAACGTCATTGATTAATTGCATAAAGACTGCAGGGCCCCCTTGTAATCCAAATGGCAAGACTTTGAATTCATAGCACCCCATGGGGCAGTTAAATGCGGTCTTCCATTCATCCCCTTCCTTAATTCTCATGCGATAGTAAGCTTCCCTTAGTTCTAGTTTAGAAAAAAAATTCCCTTTCGAGAGGTGTGACAGCATGTCTTTCATGAGGGGCAGAGGGTATAGGTTGCTTTCACTGATTATATTCAGGGCCCTATAATCCACGCATAAGCGTAAAGAGCCATTCTTCTTCTCTCTAAAAAGGACCAGGGCAGCCACTTTAGGCTTGGCTGGCTCACTGAAACCTCTCTCTATGTTTTTTTTTTATGAATCTTTCCATTTCCTCCTTCTCCTTTGGGATCATGGAGTATAATCTGGGCTTTGGGAGTTTTTCCCCAGGCTTGAATTCAATGGTACAGTCTGTGGGTCGGTAGATATGAAATATAATTGGATTCTGACAGTTATCAACTATAAAAACCCCATTTCTGCTTTC